AGATTATTAAGGAGGAACTTATTTGAGTTATAAATTGAAACATAAAGTAGCTTATGGTTACTTCTGATTATTACACCAAAAAGAAACTTCTTTCTAATTTAATGATTAATCTGACGGATTTTTAAAATAAAATTTATTCCAATATATCTTACTTTTGTTTTGATTGTCAGATTCTTCCTTAAAAATTAAAGGCATTCTTTGACTGTTTACTATTATTGCGCAGCTGAATATTTTTTTTTGAAAGTGCGGAGAAAGTAAATGTTCTTTTTTTGGAAAAATTATTTATTTCTTGCTTTTTTGAGAAAAGAAAAGACTTTTGTGGTTATAGAGAAGTCTCTCTCTTGGTATAATCTCGACTGAAGAGAGGAGGTCAACATCTTAAACGTTTTTCGCGTTTCTTTTATTTTTACACAATAAGTGCTTGGTAATTTTCTTGCTTTTGTTACTACTTTCTTGCTCGTCACATTTCTCTTCTTTTTCTCAAGAATATGGCACACTTTGTATCTTTCGCTTTCTCCTCACGTGAGAAAATGCTCATTTCAAGGTCTCTCTCTCTCTCTTTAAATGTGTCTATGTACCATTTTTTTTTTAAATTGTACTCGTTACTAAATAGTTGAGGACTCAGTCTTAAACACTGCATTTGCACTTGCAAATCTTCCTTACCGACTTATTTTTCCCATTCGGAATCGTATTGATTAATTTTACAGTTTTACTTTCCGTTAAAGTTTAGGATTTATACCATTTGACAATATCTCTGAAATCACTAATTACATGTTGACGATTTATGAACTTTTTCTCTCCCTCTCTTTTTTCTTATTGATTTCAAGGAGAACAACTTGCAAAATATGTGTGGAAAAATTAATGGTAAACTTGCACCATAAATAAATTAAGGTATCGCGGTTACATCTCGGCAATAAATCTTTATTCGTTTTATGTAAATGGTCAGTTGTAGAGTAAGTTTTGCTTAGAATTTTACAACGCCTTATATGCATTGTATATAAAACCGTTAAGGGAGCGTCTTGTGTCATTGCACTAGTTGTATGATCATAAACTTATACATACTCCAAATATAATATAATATAATATATTGTGTATCAAATGTTTTCGCAAATGTTCACTTTATAAATGCAGTAATTCTTTCATAAAAGTTAGCACTATAATAATAATAAATGTTTAGTAACAGTTAAACTGTACCAGAGCTCTTTACTTTTCAGTAAACTGAAGCTCAAACTGAACAATAATATATAATAGTAAAAGTTTAATAGTAAAACTAATAGGAAAACTAATAGTAAAACTGACAGTAAAACTAATAGTAAAACTGATAGTAAAATTAATAGTAAAACTATATTAGTACAACTATAATATTAAAAATAATAGTAAAATGACAGTAGTAAAGCAATAATAGTTTGGTATTATTGGCACGTCTTTTAGTTAGAGCAATGAAAATGTCTTTATCAATTATATTGTCTCCCTTATTTATGTGACACGTAGAGATATAAATTCCGTATGATCATTGATCTTGTCTTTATTCTACTTGGATAATAATGGAAAATGCCTGTGCGTGGCAAATTGTGCAATCAAATTAATATAGCTATTATCTACTCTATGGAGGATATATCTCATTAAATGGGTATAGTTTGACAAACAAAGGGCGAAAATGGAAAAAGAATTTCATCATCAGATTTGTATTCAGCGAATCCTTTCAATTTTTAAGCTGCTTCTGTAAATTTTGGAAGATGTTTGAAAAAGGTCTGTTCACTTTAAGTTCGTATTCAGCGATCTAAAAGTTACCAAGAAACCCAATTTTTATATAAATCGGATAAAATTGACCAAAGTTACTGAACATATTAAGTTCTTACAGTTGTTATTTTCGATTTTTTTGAGTCTGCCTTTAGGTTCATGGTTTGCGACCTGAAAGTCACCGGAAATTCATTTTTTATTCAAATCGGTTAATATTTATGAAAACTATTAGAGATATTGTTTTCCGTAATGGATGATGCAGGCATTGGGAACGGTTCGGTTGTGCGAATATAATTGGAGCAAAATGCACTTTTGTAGGATGAACTATTGCGCGAAAGTTACGGATGGCAATTGACAGAAGGGAATTTATTCAATCGGGAGTGAATTGTAAAATGCGTGGTATCTACTAATGTTTGTGTGGGTATTTATATTTGTGCGTAGTGGGACCATAGTTTTCCATATTCGCCTCGTCTGTGGCACATCATCACAAGTAAACACAATAACGTCAGAATGACCTCGTAACCGGCAAACAAGGCCGACCACTTGTGCTCCCCTACATGTAACTTTTACTCATATGCCTACTCTCTGTGCGCACACCTACATTGCAACTTGTACCATTCGTCTCTCGCGGGGTAAAGAGGCATTAATTATTGTATAACTTTTGATGCTAATCCGAATACTTCTTCTTCTTCTTCTGTTGGAACATGATCAGTTTTGAATTAACGGGTCTTTCTTCTTCTTTTTCTACTATTACTACTACAACTACTAATCCTTCTACTTTTTTTCTGCTACTTTTTTATTTTTTGTTGATCTTTTCCTTCTCTTCTCTTCTTTAACCGACTGATTTTCAATACAATACCTTTAGCTTCATCATCTGCCGGCACTTGCGGTCAGTAACTGATAGTTTTCTTCTTGTTTCAATTAGGTTTGTATTATGTGGAACATACCCGCGATCACAAATTAAAAACTAGATTTCAGTATCATGCCGGATTTTATTTCCATTCAATTCAAAAATACTTTTAATTAAGAATTCTATGGAACTAATTTTTTTCGAAAAGCTTAATCGGAATTTTTGAAAATTTTAATTTCTATAAAAAATGATAATGATTTTTGGAACATGTTATTAAAGAGAAAATCGCACACTTTTCAATCATGGGAAAAAGGCGGTTTTGTTTTTCGTTTTAACAATTATGAATTCGCAGCAGCATTGCCTAATAATTATTTACACCATTCAATTATACTTGGCGTACATTTGCAAAATTTCTCCTCATTAATGACATACTTTTATTTTTCGCAAACTCATTGGAAAAAAATTTTTTTTTCGAAATTTAATTTATTGTCTTTACAATTTGCATGCTCATCACAAAGTGGGTGGTTTTGTTTTATGCAGCATTTTTTTTTTTGTTTCGTATTCTATTATTTCTCATGGTGCACTCACAACATTACCAAACTGACCAACTATAAGGAACTTTATAGTATATGTATAATGAAGAACGATAGCGAAGGTTGCTTTTGATTACATTAAATAGGGCACATTATTAATGGAGCCAGTTTCCCTTTGAACAAGTTTTGAATAGTCGGGTTAAATTTACGTTCACGTGACACATTTCAAGAGCCTTGTTTATTATTTCCCCATATAATAAGAAAATTCGGGAATTTTATTTGTTTTATTTTAAATACTCGATTTTAACGGTTTTGAAAGTCTTGAAAGTCTTGACCTCGGTCTTAAGAGGAAAAAAGTATTAGTCATTTTAATAATGTTTCTTCTTCAAAATTTTCCTCCCTCTTCTCTTCTTTTTCTTCTTCTTTTTCTTCTTCTTCACCATCTTTAGAATTGTTCCTCTCCATGCACTTGGACTTACATACAAAGTTTTCTGCTATTCAGCACTGTTCACCGTGAGAGAAAGATACAGTGCGAATAGAATGGCAGTTGTCCAATAGTTTCTTCAAAGTTTCAGTACTTGAAATTCCTATTGTTCAGAGAAGAAAGAAAGAAAAAAAGGGAGTCACTATAATCAGGAATAATTGCAAAAATTTAACCGAGTTTTTTTTCCGAAAAAAAGTGTTTTCAACCTTTCTTTTTTTTCTCTCTTATTTTTCATGTAAAAGAAAATTGTAAAGAAAAATACCAAATGAGAGGTAGCAATTTGTATTAATGTGGAAAAGAAAATTCAGATTTTTTTTTATAATATGAAGATGCGATATTTATGCTGCGGGGCATGTCTCGAATTACATTTCCGATTCTGTGTGTATATATATGTATATAACATGAAACGAGCGTGGAATATGAAAAATGATCTCTCCGTTGCTATAATCGCATAGTCGGAAATCTTATCTTGGAATTTCTTGCCATGCCATTTAAAATGCAATGAAGATATATATTCAAGTACATTTTGCGTCTGGTTTTGATAACTTATATTTGTACAAATCATTTCCTTGTTTATATTAAATTTAAAATTCATGTATTTCCCGAGGTGAATTCATTTTTAGACCAAAAAAATAAAGAAACTTCTTTTTGCAAGAAAAGAATTGAAACAAATTTTTTGAAAGAGAAACGCCTGAAAGAATAACAAAAACGCAGCAATAAAATATCTGAGATTTTAATTAAATTGTATATAAATAAATAAGGGAACTATTGCGACACGTGTCGTTCGACTGCGACATTTTTCAATGCGTGCAAAAAACAAATTGCGGTTAACGAGAACACAATCAGTTTTGCCCCAAGGCTGAAACTATAGACTCGTTATAAGATATTTTATATATCGAAGAAAAGGGTTACAATTACAATACACTTGCACCTCAGTTACGCGATATCTTTTGCAACATCTTATTTCATCCTTATCGTCACATATCGAGATAACTTCATTAATTCGCTGAAACCAAAGTTCTTCTTCTAATCCGAATAATGAAAAAATCACAAGAGTGCACTATACGAAGAAAGGTACAAATTTTGGCACTAAATCGTAATTTGTTTTAATTTTAATACCCAAATCAGCTTTAATTTCGAACCTTTTTTTTACAGCGTGATGTAAAGCTGAAACTGGCATCCAGTGAATTTTGAAAAATTAGCTGGGTGGCAGTTTGAGCTGCATAGTAAAAAGAAAATAAATATACAATTGGAGCTGCGCTATAAATGCGCAAGAATAAAAATGGTTTGTTTTTTGCGCGCACTGCGTCTAAAGATAACTTGGGAGGCATTGCTTTGCTTGTAAAACGTTACGTGTCAAGTTAATGTTTTCTTTCTCTCTCTCTTTGCGCAGATAACGGATCGTCCAGGAGTAGAGAGTGTTTGCGGCTTAAAGTTAAATTGTAAAGTAAGAGAAGCTCTGACTCGGAGCTGGTGACCGGAAATAGACAGGCAAAGTAGAAGCAAAAACAGCAACAGCAGCAGCGGCATTAGCAGTAAGCACAATGGGTGAACGACGTGGTACCAAGGCGCTTGAACTCTGGTGCAGAAGGATAACTGACGGCTATCCTGGTGTTAATGTGCAAAATATGACAACTTCGTGGAGGGATGGTCTCGCATTTTGCGCCATGATTCATCATTTTCGTCCTGATCTCATGTGAGTACAATTCTTATTATTACTACAAACGGAATTATTTCATTCAAATAAATATTTATACTTGAATCAAATAATTTCTATTTAACCTTTAAAGGGCCTGAAAATTTGCAAACATTTGAGTAGCTTTTTATTAAAAAAAAATTAAATAAGTCAATTCGATAAAAAGGTTCGTCAAAATAAATGGCCACTATAGGATAAATCAAGGCTCAAATACTGAAATTAGTCTCTCTAAATATAAACTAGTTGAAAGTTACTAACAAAATGATGAAGAGTCGTCCACCAAGTGATTTAATAATCATTTTTTACTAAAAAAATATATTTTAGTAGAATTCAGAGTTGCCCCGCAACCTGAAAATCTGGAAAACCTGTAAATGTCAGGGAATTTTATAAACCTTAAAAAAACCTGAAAGTAGTTAAACTTTTTAATATATATATTTAATTGATTATTAAAAATAATGGATTTATAGAAAAATTTTAGTTAAAAACACTAAAACAAATTGAATTATAAAGCAATTAGAAATGATTACAAAAGTTATTTATTAATTTATAATTCTTCATTATTTTTTTTATTTAACCTTTTTTAATTATTATTTGTTAAAATGTTATTTTTATTTAATAAAATTAATATTAATTTAATTAATTTAATTTTAATTAATTTCAAAAATAATTAATTGATAAATGTTTATTTATACTTTGAAGTTAGTTTTTGTGTATGTTTTTTTTCTTTAAAAAATAATATTTTCAATTACAAAAATTAAAAATTTTTTAAATTTAATAATAACATATAAAATTTAAAAAAAGTGTCAGAAAATTTTTAATTGTTAAAAAAATATAATTTAGAAATAGGATAGGAAATATATTAATTTTATGCACAATTTTTATTTTTCAATAACAATATTGTTTAATTTTATTTATTAATACATCACTGCAAAAACTAGCGTCTTCAAAACGTCTTATTTTAAGACATTAGACGTTTTGAAAACGTCTAGTCTGGAATAAATGACTAATTCATCTGTCTTTTATGCAAAGTGACTAAAAATTAGAGACACTTCTTGCGTCTTACAAATGTAAACAAGTCACTTTCAGTGCTTATAATTTAAGACATGTAATGTAGACGGTAAAAGTGTCTTTATTTAAGTCATTTTTGCTAATTTAAGACGTTTTCAAAGTAAGACACTTTGAATAAAAGACATTTTGTGTATTCGAGTATCTTCGGTAATATTCGTCTTGCCTCGTCTCGATGAAAGTATATTATAATTTTTTACATTAAATAATTTTAATGTAATTCGATTATCATTTTTCTTCGTTAGGAAAAATGGATTATTATTAATTATTCCTGAGTTATTTTCATTTTCTTTTTTTTTCTTTAAGTGGATAATTTTAATTGAAAACTGTAAATAAGTGAAATAATAGGATTTGTTAATCTTATTTTTATTAATTTAAAATGTTATATTATTTATAATGATCGATTTTGAGCTAGATAATTATTTTTTTTAAAATCAATATCATAAATTCTTACTTTTTTATTTCTTCATTTTCGAAATCATTTATCAAAATTTGTGAATTCAAAATTATTGATAATGATTTGACACCTCGGTAATCATTAATTTTGCCGCCTTTAACAGTGATAATTGAGTCTATTTCCTCATTAAAGTTTTTTGCCGATTCCCCCCAAAATACCAAATCAATCTGGAATAAATTTAATTGCTATTAATTTTAATTATATAATAATTATTATTCTTACACTAAAAAAAAATTATTTAATTAAAATAACCGATTAATTGACTATTATCAATAAAATATTTAATTGATAAAAAAATATTTATTGGAATTAATTAAATGGTATTTGAATCAATAATTTCAGTATTTGTATCAATAAAATTTTTTTTCAGTGTATCATTGAACTTAATACTTACTGTTTTATTATTTTCATCTGAAATTGTTACATGTCTCTTTGTTACTTTATTACCCGTCACTGTGACTTCAATATCATCGGAGATGACTTTTATTATTCCAAACGTATCTTAAAAATATTTTTCATTATACAAATTATTAAAATATAATGTATTTAATATAATCATTATTATAAATTTTATATTTACCAATTACTTTTTTCGCTGGAATTAAATCTATTTCCTTTATTTTTACAAAATTAAAAGTATTTAATCTTTTTGATGCTTCATCTTCCTCTTCAATTTCTTCAACTTCTGTCTCTTCATACAATTTTAACTCAAACGTGTTTTTCATACTATTATATAATTTATTTGCTGGTGATATTAACACATTTGAGAATTTGTATACTCTTCCGATCTGAATTGTTTATTAATTTTATTTTTAAAAAATTATAGTTTGCAATTAAATTGTATAAAATTTACATTACGTACATGATTCAATATGTTCAAATACTTTAAAATGATGTTCAATTAATTAATTTTAATGCTTTTTAAATTTTAAAATAGTGTTTGTTTAATTTCATGTCAAATTTTAATTATAAATTTTTTTTATTAAAGTTGTAAAAACTACCTTGAGAATACTGAAGAATTTATCTACATTGTTGTCATAAATAATTGCTCTGATTTCTCCCGATGCATCTAATAAATCCACTGTGAACGATTTTTCAGTAATATTGTTTTTAATTTTAGATTTATTTGTAACTCTTGCTTCGAATTCCCAACTGTGCAAATAATTTTTTTTTTAAATTTTAATTATATATTATTACACTTTAAATATTTAATATATTAATTTGTGTTATTAATTATTAAAAATTTTAACTTACTGTTTTATTTTATTTTCCATTTCGATGAATGTAATTTTTTCTTTTTTTAGTGCATTTTGTTCACACAATTCCTCGACTATTAATTTTTTTTTATATTATCATCATCATCATCTACGTCAATTTTTCTTTTTAAATTTGATTTTACTCTTTCCTTACCCATTTCAGAAATTATACTAAATGTGTGTTTATAATTGAAAATCATTTTCAAACATTCACTCTTAATATAATTTATTTTGATAGAAGTGGGATATATGAGAGGAAGAATTACAAAGTAGGGGAATTTTTAAAATTAAAATTTATTTTTAAGAAATTGAAATTACTTATAATGTTTAATTTATATAATTAAGTTACATGATTTTTTTTTTCTTCAATTAATATTGATATATAATTATTGTTATTTAAAAAATTTTTTCAATAATTATTTTAATGTAACTATTATATTATATTTAATTTGATTTTAATTAAAATAGATGGAAATAGACATATGTATGTGATTTGTGTATATGTAGAAGTATGTAACTTAGTGAAATACAAACAGCTATTTATATTCTCATTGTAATTATATGAATTAAACAGAAGTTTAATATTAAATAAAACATCTTTTGTAAGAAGGTAAAATACATTATTAATTATTTTTAAATAAATTTAAAATTTTTTAATTTGACATTTCATTCTATTGTTTATAATGTTTATTATTTAATACTATTTTGTTACTTCAAAGAAAATTTTTATTACAAACGTTCAAAATCTATTAAATTTCTTAATGTGTGTGTATCAATATTTTGAAAATTAATATTCAATACATCAATTATAATTTCGAATCCTAACTGATTTTCTAATTCTCTTATAATTCAATTTTTGATGATTTAAAAAAAATTCTGTTAATCTTATAATAATAATAATAATATTATTATTTCATTGTTCTGTTGGTTTTAATCATGCATAATATTTTTTAACGCTCGCTCGGATTTAATTGCTGTTTTTTAATTTCGCTAATATAATTATTTCAACGATTTTTTTCTTTTTAATTTTTTCAATTTAATTAGTATTTTTATTAATTTACAATTTTATCAAGTTCATTAGTGTTTTATTAAAAAAAATTATGTTAAATAATATAATACTTAATAAAGTTTCATCATTTGAATGTTGGTTTGACCAACATATTTGATTCTTAAATCAAATAGAAAAATAATTTTATGTGATTTTGTTTAACTAAAATTAGTTTGTAAGTTTAATCCTAATATATAAAATACATTTACTGCTTTGATTCAAAAATATTTTTTGTTTAAATAATTATGTTTAATTTAAACATATTTTCTGTTTTGATTTAAGGGGATCCCACTTATCGACATGTAGATTGAAATTATTGAAAAACTTGCGACCGTCTTTTCTTAAAGAAAATGTAATATAATGCTTTGTTAATTATGGGAAATTGATTTTGAGAGAAAAATACATAGGATGAATATTTTAGTTTTAATAATTATTAAATAATAATTATTTTTCATGAATTAAATATGTACAGTTTTCCTCTATCCATGCCTTCACCACATCGCAAAGCACGACCGCCTTTTCGTTGAAACGAAGAAACACAATATTTTTTCCTTTTCGTAAATTGAATATATTTATCAAACACACAGGATGAAACTAATTACACACTCAAAAATAAATAAAAACTTTATTTTAAACTAATTACCATTACTCAGATAATGACTGTATTTGACAGCTGTGCTATAGGTTTTATTTATGTAAATGTTTCCAGAAAGTGTGAAGAGATGGCGCGTCTAAAAAGCAACCGTAAATTATTAAAACATGTCAAAATTGTTTTTATTATTCATTTGTAAATATTCGTGATGTGAAAACAACTACAAGCAAAAATATTATGAACTTTTGAAAAATTTATTATTTATCAAAAAAAAGTAAAGTTATTATTTTTAAATAACATTTGTTTTATAAAATATAATGTCGGTAAATTACATTTCATAAAAAAAATGTTTTATCCAAAAAAATGACAGTCATGTTTTAAAAACTACAAAAACGACAATTTTCCCGAGTTGGGAAACTCTAAATTGTTAAAAAATTACACCAGATGACACCTATTATATTATTAGACATAAAAATAAACAAATTGATTTACTTTTTCAGTAAAATGCATTTTGTAAACAATGTGACAGCTGAGCGAGACAGTCAGTTCGAGAACGATTCGATATTCAAATATCGATTGCAAAGTGTCGATTCGCTGTAATCGATTAGGGTGCATTTATAACAGTAGTTTAACTATTTACAAAAATTATTTTTTGGAAAAACGAGGATCACAGCTAAATCACAATTCTGCACTAAACGTCAGTAACTTTATTGCTGTTTCTAGGTTATAAACTGTGTCAAATCGTAACAGTTTTATTTTTTCGTAAACAATTTTTTGTTGGTTGACAACCTCTATGTCTATATAGGGAAAAAATTCCCTAGAAAAATAAAAATAATTCAAATTTTCTATATATGTAAATCTTTTTTAGCGATAATTCGCAAATATAACATTTTGGGAAAATAAAAAGATATATTGTTCTGAAAAGTAGCAAACTTTATTTAAAAAATTTATTTGTGAACGAAGTGTATGACTAAAGGTACATTTACACCGTTGGTAGAAATTATAGATAGAAAAAAATATATTATATTATTACGTATAATATATTATTATTATTATTATTATTATTATTATTATTATTATTATTATATTACATTATATTATATTATATAAATTATAGATTTTCCAGATAGGATAGAAATAGTTATTTTCGTATCAAGGGCGCAAAATAGGTGATTGCGACGATGGCGAAATGAAGGGACCGAGGGGACACAATTTCGCGCCCGAGGCGAAGCCGAGGGAGCGAAAGTGTCCCCGAGGTTCCGAAATTTCGCCAGAGTCGTAATCACCTTTGCGCCCATGATGCTAACATAATTTTTTGTCCTAACTGCATGGAAAGTATGTCATTGAGGGCACGAACGATTAAACGCTCATATTAGTTAAAAATTAAACTCTATATAAATGTTAACTCTTTGAAGTCTATAATGATACAAGTTTTAATATAGAAATAAGAAAACAATGTATTCTGAAAATATAGTAATTGACAATTTTTATAACCGAAATGTGAACAAAACCAAATGTGTCATAATTTTTTTTTAGAAAAAATCGAAAAAAAATTGCACATTTTTCTAGACAAAATAAAACAAGTTGAAAATGTTTGCATTTTTATAGTCAACATAAGAAGAAACTCGAAAATATCACATTTTAATGAAGAAAATCGAATAATTAACATGCGGGCGCAAAATACTCTTCCTCCTGCTCGAAGGTAGGGGAAGCGGGCGCAAAATATTTTGCGCCCGCTCGGAGGTAGATGAAGCGGGCGCAAAATATTTTGCGCCCGCTCGGAGGTTGGTGAGCGGGCGCAAATATTTTGCGCCCGCTTCCCCTACCCCTGGGTGGTAATGAGTCACTTTGCGCCCGCTCTAAGTGCCCGAAATGACATACTTTCCGTGCAGGTAGGACAAAAAATTTATTTCTGTCAAGAATGTTAAAATGTAAATTTTACATCACCATGGGAAGCAATGTTTAAAATAAAAAGAATATTAATTTATCAATTAATCTGTACATCACAAAGAATTTCTTATTTCAACTGAAATGAACATTTATTCGTTAGGGGCCATACTTAAATTATGTAACGCTTATTTTTGCCATTTTACATCCTTCCCTCCCCCATGTAACAAATTTTTACATACATTAGCGCCATTTTTATGCTAAGTGTAACAATTATCTTAACCCCCACCCCCTATTATATTCATGATCAATATTAAAAGCACAATTCCTGTATAATTAGTAAAATATTTATTTATATTTATATTATTAAAATATACAGTATATAATAATTATAATAATAATAATAGCATACAGTACACTTGTGTTCATCGATGCCTTCTCTCAGGGAAGGCACAAATTTGACAAGTTTTGCCCAATTTCTATATTATTCTTGAACTAAGATTAGCTTCCGACGCAAAAGTGATCGGCTATATTGAAGTACGAGCATAGCAGTTTGGTCTCCTGTAGTCTATTCTCCATGGCTTTTCCATTGGCTGATTTTTTAGACAGTATAGAAGGTAGGCAAACTTTGTGAAATTAGTGCCTTCTCTGGTAGAAGGCATCGATGAGCACGAGTGTACACTGTAAAAAAATTATAATTTTTTCGAGAGAATACTACTAAAGGTTATGTATACTTTTAATAACGCAGCGCCGACACATAAAATGACGTAAATGAGAATTTTGAAAATTTAAGTTTATTTATTTAAATAATGTATATTTATTATTTTCATTAATACATATACATATATTTTAGCACAATTGCGATGATTACTTTTACCATAAAGAATTCTTAATGTTATATATGTAAATAAAAAAAGTAAAATCACATATTTTTTATCTTATAAATTTAAGGTCATTTACGTTTATAAGATTTATAAAATATGCGTAACTTAGTACGAATAAAAGTTTAGATACTTGTGAATATAGACATATATAAATCAATAATAAAGAATACGGATTATTTTTTACATTATATACAATGAATATAAAATTTTTTAAA